TACATCAGGGACTCTCTAGCTTCAGGTATTATTCGTCCATCTTCATCTCCTGTGGGGGCCGGCTTCTTTTTTGTTGCTAAGAAAGATCAGACTTTACGACCGTGTATCGATTACAGAGGTTTGAACAATATCACTGTGAAAAACAAATATCCATTGCCTCTCATCTCTTCTGCCTTTGACCCTTTACAGGGAGCCACGATTTTCACAAAACTGGATTTACGTAATGCATATCATCTTGTCCGTATCAGAGAGGGCGATGAATGGAAGACTGCATTTAACACACCTCTGGGGCACTTTGAATACTGTGTCATGCCATTTGGACTCACAAACGCACCTGCCGTGTTTCAAGCTTTGGTAAATGATGTCCTTCGGGACTTCCTCAATCGCTTTGTTTTTGTCTACCTGGACGATATTCTAATATTTTCCAGAGACCCATCTGAACATCGCCAACATGTCCGCCTTGTCCTGCAAAGGCTTCTGGAAAATAAACTGTTCGTGAAGGGTGAGAAGTGTGAATTCCATGCCAGTTCTGTCTCTTTTTTGGGTTTCATAATTGAAAGTGGACAAGTCAAAGCAGACCCAAAGAAGATCCAGGCTGTCTCTGAATGGCCTCCTCCTTGTAATAGAAAACAACTACAAAGGTTCCTTGGCTTTGCTAACTTTTATAGGCGATTCATTCGGGATTACAGCAAGGTCGCACTTCCTCTCACCCGTCTAACCTCTGCAAAGCTTCCTTTCCAATGGACTCCTGAGGCAGAGGGTGCTTTCAACAAGCTTAAAGGACTTTTCACTACAGCACCTGTCCTTATTCACCCCGACCCATCTAAACAGTTTATTGTTGAGGTTGATGCCTCTAATGTGGGAGTTGGAGCTGTTCTCTCCCAACGCTCTGACTCAGATTCTCGTCTTCACCCCTGTGCTTTCTTTTCTAGGCGGCTAGCCCCTGCTGAGTGTAACTATGATGTGGGCAACAGAGAACTCCTTGCTGTTAAACTAGCACTTGAGGAGTGGAGGCACTGGCTGGAAGGAGCAGAGCAACCCTTTGTCGTATGGACTGATCACAAGAACCTAGCCTACATCCAGTCCGCTAAGAGGCTAAATTCACGCCAGGCCAGGTGGGCTCTGTTCTTTGGAAGATTCAACTTCACAATTACGTACCGCCCTGGTTCTAAGAATGTGAAACCCGATGCTCTGTCTCGCCAGTTTGACCCGTCTGAACACTCTGATCCGGAAACCATTCTGCCTGTTAATTGCGTTCTTGGAGCCCTCTGTTGGCAGGTTGAAGCCAATGTGAAAAAGGCGCAGGAGGCAGAGCCAGATCCAGGAGGTGGACCACCCAACAGACTCTATGTACCATCTGCTGTACGCAGCGAGGTCTTGCAGTGGTCCCATAACTCCTTTTTTGCCTGTCATCCGGGGGTAAGGCGCACCTTGTCAAGTCTCAGGCGTCATTTTTGGTGGCCAACTATGGATGCTGATACTCGCAGTTTTGTATCGGCCTGCACTGTATGTTCCCAGAATAAATCATCTCACACACCCTCTTCTGGTCACCTCAGGCCTCTACCTATTGCTAATCGTCCCTGGTCCCATATCGCAGTGGATTTTGTAACTGGTCTACCCCTCTCGAACGGTCAATCAGTCATCTTGACCATCGTAGACAGATTTTCCAAAGCAGCTCATTTTGTGGCCCTCCCCAAATTGCCCTCAGCTCGAGAGACAGCCGACATCATGGTACAAAATGTATTCCGTCTACACGGCATCCCTACCGACATTGTTTCCGACCGGGGCCCCCAATTCATCTCCCAGGTTTGGAAAGCTTTTTGCCAGTCTCTAGGTACCACCGTCAGCCTCTCGTCTGGTTTCCATCCACAGACTAATGGTCAGACCGAAAGGACCAATCAAGACCTGGAATCTGCTCTTCGTTGCGTGGCCAGTCACAACCCTGCGTCCTGGAGTTCACACTTACCTTGGGTTGAGTATGCACATAACTCGTTAACCTCCTCTGCTACTGGTCTCTCCCCTTTTCAGTGCTCTATTGGCTATCAACCTCCTCTCCTGTCCATGGATGAAATTGAAGTTGCTGTACCCTCCATCCAAGCCCACATGCGGAGGTGTCGTAAGATCTGGAAGGAGACCAGGAAGGCCCTGTTGCAAACATCATTTCAAACTAAGTCCTTGGCTGACCGTCATCGCCGCCCAGCACCAAAATACACCCCAGGTCAGAAAGTCTGGTTATCTTCAAAACATATCCCTTTAAAGACTGAATCCAAGAAACTGTCGCCCCGCTTCATTGGGCCATTTGAAATCGAAAGGGTGATTAATCCTGTTTCCGTTCGCCTTAGACTTCCACAAGCGCTACGTGTTCACCCTACCTTCCACGTGTCCCAAATTAAACCGGTGCTTTCTAGTATTCTGTGCCCTCCTTCCAAGCCCCCTCCACCCCCCCGGTTGGTTGATGGTCACCCGGCTTATACTGTGAGGCGGATTTTGGATGTCCGTCGTCGTGGACGTGGGCTCCAGTACTTGGTCGACTGGGAAGGGTACGGTCCCGAGGAGCGGTCATGGGTTAGTCGTGCCCTGATCCTGGACTCTACCATGTTGAAGGAGTTTCACCGCGCTCACTCTGATCAGCCTGGTGGTGCGCCAGGAGGCGCCCGTTGAGGGGGGGGTACTGTGAGGGTTCTCCCTGCTCCTCCTACCCCTCCTTTCCCTGCTCCCTGTTTCCACTTACCTTGTTTGGCTTTTCCTGGGCGGGCCCCAATCATGCACCTGCTGAGCTCCACTCCTGATCCTCATCTAGCAATCATCTCCTACAATAAAAGACCTGCTGACCTGCTCTCCAGTGCCAGATCGTTCCGTCATCCCTGTGGTGATCAACTCAGGCTTTTTAAGATTTTTTGAGAACTCCAAAGACTTTTTGATGTTTACCTGTTTCTTTTGTCCTATTCCCCAGCACTTCATCTGGAGCCAGCCTCATCCCGTACCCTCCTGTTTCTGTAAGTCTCCAGTCAGCCTCCATCTCCACCGACCTCCCATCTGCAGCCAACCCGGACCCGTCCTGCCTCCCCTGGAATTTATTCCCCCGCCAAGACTATTTGTGTTAAATAAATACCTTTTTTCCTTCTGCACATTTGGGTCCGACCAGTGATTCCCTAACACTTGCACTCTTTGGTAATGGTAAAATTGTTATTTGCTATTGCTATTTTCCAAGCTTGTGGATATATATTGTTATGGGGACTCAAATTTAAAATCTGAGCAATTGGAACAATATTTATGCTGGAATATAAAGGCTGGAAGTGAAGGTGTCCAACACTGCTGAGGAGTTACCTTTGACTTATTCACACAAGAACTGACCTGGAAGAGAGACTGGAGTGTCTGGGTAAGTCCTCTGGCATTATTATATCACTGCTTTAAGTGAGGGGAGACAAATACACAGAGGCCCTTTGAATACCTCTATATAGATTTAGTTATAGTTACACATGCATGATGCATTATTTAAACCCCGTTAAATGTTACAGTATCTCTGAACTATTTTTGAACTGTTTTTTTTTTTTTTTTTCATCAAACATAGGAGCTTAGGGTTAGTTTGTCACTGGAAGCAGCATTTACAAGTTTCTGAAATCACATGATTGCAGCATAATCCTTCAAACCAAACCAAATGGAGGACGAAAGTTTTCATGTGCATCCTCACCTGTGTTGGCTGTTTTTCAGGGGGCAGTGTGCAATGAATTAGTGTAGATAAATGTATGTATGTACGTATGTATGTATGTATGTGTATGTATGTATGTATGTATGTATGTATGTATGTATGTATGTATGTATGTATGTATGTATGTATGTGTGTATGTGTGTATGTATGTATGTATGTATGTATGTATGTGGTGTATGTGTGTATGTATGTATGTATGTATGTATGTATGTATGTATGTGTATGTGTGTATGTATGTATGTATGTATGTATGTATGTATGTATGTATGTATGTATGTATGTGTATGTATGTATGTATGTACATATGTATGTATGTGGTGTATGTGTATGTATGTATGTATGTATGTATTGTAATAATTATTATTTATTTATTTATTTATTTTTTGGAGTGAAGTTTATAATCTTACTTTTTGGTTGGGCATGGACAGCAGATATGACATGTGTAGAGGTAATTCTGTATTCTCACTTCTATTCAGAGTGATTTGTGCATGTTTGAGTAATTAGTTTATTCTCCTGTATTCAAATGCCTTTACTCTAGCCCTGTTTTCACCCCCATGAGCACACACCCACTGCTCTGTACTTCCTTTGTTCTCCAATTTTATTTTTATAATCAGTGCTACACGAAGGATTTGGCAGTATTCATTTTAATACAGGTGAAAAAAAATAAATAAAAATCAGCTACTTGCTAGCGTGATGTGGAGCTATCCATATCCAGTGAGATCATTTTTACAGTCACCTCAGCTCCCATTGGGCACTGTGGTTTACTAACGAGGGTGTCAGCAGACTTGTTTCTTTCATTAAGTTACCATCACTTATTATGCCAAGCTCTTTACATAATGATACAAAATTGTTGGTTGTTCTCTTTATTGTGGTCATTTTTGTTTCACGTGGATAGAGATATTAACCACAAACCAGGTCAAACATTCACATTTTTCATCTTTAGAAAGAAATTCTCTCTCACAGAATTTCATTTCTATTTTCAGCATCAGGCTCTTCAGAATGTTGTAACATCACATGAACACAACCCAAAAAATCATAAGAGGTGTGCAGTCAGTTAAAAAAGCACTCTGAAATTTCTTTAAAAAGTGACTCAAGAAAATGAAACTGAGTAAATGTAACTGACAACGACCCATCTGTGAGATGGCTTTAATGTTTATTTCTCTGTGACTTCTCATCTTTTCTGATGAGTTTGAGTAAAACCTTTTATTACAGACTGAACAGCTGTAAGGTCTCTCTCCTGTGTGCGTTCTCTTAGGCAAGACAAAAGACTAAAATGCCACTTACAGTTGAATGGATTTACAATTTAGTTTTAATAATAAGATTCTGTCCAAAGTTTATAAGAAATGTCAGAAGAATGGTCAAAAACACTGACATATATGAACTAACAAAGTAATACAACAATCACATTTCAGAACATGTCAGAAAATCTAAACTTCAGGGTTCTACTGGCTCTCTGGCTGTGTTGATGCTTCTCCACCTTCAGTTGAATCCAAGGACGGCTTTAGACCCAATGCTCTCCTGCACCTGCTCCTAAACTCTGAGCTGGAAAAGAAATAAACCACTGGATCCATAGCACTGTTCAGGTAGGTCAAGCTCACAGTCAGAGTATAGATTATTGTCATCTGTTCCATTTCTGCACAGCCCCATGTTGCCATAGTTCTCACCTTAGACCAAATCACCAGTTGGGTGATGTTACTTGGGAGAAAGCAGACGACAAAGAGAATGATTATTGATATCAGGACCAACAATGCCTTTTTCACTTGGGTGTGTTGGGCGATCCGTCTTCTCCGCAGGTGTTGGACGATACTCGTAGTAGAGAAGAGAATCACCAGGAAAGGCACATAGAAGGCCAACAGATATGCCAGTCTATGCCCGGACATGGTCTGGTTCCGCTCACATTGGCTTCTGAAGTCTCCACAGTAGCCCTTGTTGGATTTGTATAGAGTGAAGAAGGCGCCCAACATGACTGTCAGGAGCCAGAGAATCACAGCCCCACACACAGATTTGGAGACACTCATAAAGTTAACAGGGTGATGAGGATGAACCACACGCATGTATCTGTCCAACGCAATCACGATTAGAAACAATGTACTCCCAGTGCGATTCGTACTTACAAGGAAGTGGCAGATGCTGCAAAAAGTGTTTCCAAATTTCCACTCAAAGTTGGAGCTGTAGTAACTGATTCGGAACGGTAAGGCCACGAGGAGCAGAACATCGGCCAGAGCCAGGCTGAAGAGCAGGACAGTGCTGCTCCTCCAGGGCCTCAGGTGGAAGCAGAAGATCCACAGAGCAAAGGCGTTCCCCACAGCTCCCAAAGTGAACGCCACACCCAGGACTGGAGGGAGGACAGAGCTCAGCACAGTAATGTTATAAGAACAATTCATCTTGAAATGAGCTCTCTATGCTACAGGATAAACGAAAAATATAATTAAGAAGAAACTTTAAAACCACTGCGTCCTTCTTCACACGCCTGTTCTCCCCACCTTCTAATAAAAGCAAAAGTATGATAAGAAAGAGGAACTAAGAAAGCTACGCAGTCATGCCACTTCCCAATCTAAGCATTCATGAGAGCAGCCTCTAAAACTCTTGTGCAACTGTGGCAATAACATAAAGTGCATAACTTTATCTTTGCGTGTCCATGGAGACTGTGCGAGAGGCTGGCTATGGATGTGCTACAGGCTTTTTACACCATATGTGGCAGCATGGCAGAAGATCTTCCAGAGGAAACATTGAGGGAAAGGATCATTTAATCACCAACCGAAATACCAAAGCATAGTAAGAATAAGACCTTTACTGTTGTGTTCACCTGGTTCCCCCTGGACACTGCTGTGATGGTGCAGGACACAGAGGAGGGACACTTTTTGTAGAATCTGCTGACCCTACCTGACCAATCCTCCTTTTAACCTGCGCTGAGACTTTTGACTGAGACACAAAAGCAACTGAAATGCACAGAGTAAAGGTTATAGCAAAAGCAACTGCAACTCTCTTGTCCACACTCTTCCATCTGGAGCATCAGCTCACTTTCTGAATCAGCAGTTTCCTCACTAATATTTTGTAGAGTGTTGCTCACATATCTACAGGCTTCCCGCAGGGGTGTGTTTTATCACCCCTTTGTACATCTTATACTGACAATTATAGAGTTATTTGGTTAAGTTTGCTAAAGATCCTGTCTTTGTTCTCTGCTCCATATGTGTGTTATGGTCCTGCTCTGGAGGAGTTCACATCATGGTGTGAGAGCTTCTGTTTAGAAGTCAACATTAGCAAAGGACATGGTTGTGACACTTTCAAACAGAGGCAGCTTGCAGAAGCAGGGTAAAATGAATGGGTAAAATGCAGAGCACAGTGAAGACCACCTTAACATATAAGTGTATATGACTGGTTAGATTACTCATTCATCAGTTCAGTTTTCCCTAGATTAAGTACCTGGTTTATAAATGTAACTTTCTGGTTGGACATGGGCAGCAGATGTGGCAGATGTAATTTTTAAGTTTTGGTAAACATACTGTTCTAAAGATTTGACAGATGAAAATATAGGTCCCTTTATTTTGTTAATTGAATGCTTAAACTGACAGAATGTTTTGTTGCGTGTGTATTGAAGACATAGATGGATTCTTTTTTAGAGCACAGCACTAAAACTAGACTAGTACATTTTAAAGTTCCCATATGAGACTGCCTCTTGAATGATATAAAACTATCATATATTTACCACATTTTCTACCAGACGTGCCAAACGAAATAGTCTAATTGATAGAAACAACCTGTCACCTGTCATGCACTTTAAATGTTCGGGTTTGACATTGGAAATAGGCTCTGTACACAAAGGAAGTTGATTACTTCCTGTAAGTAAGTGATGACATTGCCATTGTAATGTAATCCCTATGGGATTTCTGCTGAGTCATGCTAAACTGAGTCATGCTAAACTCAATAAATTCTCACAGATGAGGGAAATACATATGGACATGGTCTGGGGTCTTTTGTTTCAACTCGGCCCCATTCGGTCTCAGGACCCAAAGCCCTTATGTGAAATGATAAGAGTGTGTTAAAAGTGCTGCTATTGTCACATACAGTGTCACACCGTTGTGAAATTTGGAACAAAGAATGCTAACATGAAAAATACAATAATATAAACTTAAAATAGTTTATGCAGTTTTTGATGAGATGAGCTCTGTGTCTCCAGCAGATCACCTGCTCTAACAGAAATAATGTTCCATACCCCCAAACTGACAGATAGAAGTCTCATTTGTCCATATGTGGCGTATATTTAAATGAACCAACAACACCACTGGGCATAGCCCAGAAACGAACACTAAAATTAATAAGGCTCATAGGTTTGTTAATTGACAGATAAAGACAAAACCTTTGAATAATTTATCATTACCATAATTTATTTGTGTATTTTGTTGGATACATTTAAGAGTAGACAATAGGGCGTTCACATCAGTAACCTTGAATTGAGCACTTGACAAAAGCAACTGTAAGATAAACTTTGTCCTTAAAAACAAAACAAACAGAAACAAAAACAAAGCAGCAGCTCGTTCACAGGGCCACTGCTCCACCAGATGCCATGCCAAGGACCACCCCGAAACCCTAAAAATGTTTAATGTTTATTTCTCTTCTCTGTGACTTCTCTTCTCATCTTTTCTGATGAGTTTGAGTAAAACCTTTTATTACAGACTGAACAGCTGTATGGTCTCTCTCCTGTGTGCGTTCTCTTAGGCAAGACAAAAGACTAAAAAGCCTCTTAAAGCTGAATGGATTTACACTTTAGTTTAAATAAGATTCTGTCCAAAGGTCAGAAGAATAGTCAAAAAGACTGACATATAAGAACTGACTAAGTAATACAACAATCACATTTCAGAACATGTTTGCACAGATTTAAACTCTGGCTGTGTAGATTCCTCTCCCCGTTCAGTTGAATCCAAGGACGGCTTTAGACCTAACATGCTCTTGCATTTGTTCCTGAAGTCTGTGCTGGAAAAGAAGTACACAACTGGATCCATAGCACTGTTCAGGTAGGTCAAGCTTGCAGTCAAAGTATAGATTATTGTGATCTGTTGCATTTCTGCACAGCCCCACATTGCTGTGGTTCTCACCTTAGACCAAATCACCAGCTGGGTGATGTTACTTGGGAGAAAGCAGACGACAAAGAGAATGATTATTGATATCAGGACCAACAATGCCTTTTTCACTTGGGCGTGTTGGGCGATCCGTCTTCTCCGCAGGTGTTGGACGATACTCGTAGTAGAGAAGAGAATCACCAGGAAAGGCACATAGAAGGCCAACAGATATGCCAGTCTATGCCCAGATATGGCCGTGTTCCACTCACACCGGCTTCTGAAGTCTCCACAGTAGCTCTTTTTGGATTTGTATAGAGTGAAGAAGGTGCTCACCATGACTGTCAGGAGCCAGAGAATCACAGCCCCACACACAGATTTGGAGACACTCATAAAGTTAACGGGGTTATGAGGATGAACCACATGCATGTATCTGTCCAACGCAATCACGATTAGAAACAATGTACTTCCTGTGCGATTCATACTTGCAAGTAAGTAACAGATGCTGCAAAAAGTGTTTCCAAATTTCCACTCAAAGTTGGAGCTGTAGTAACTGATTCGGAACGGTAAGGCCACGAGGAGCAGAACATCGGCCAGAGCCAGGCTGAAGAGCAGGACAGTGCTGCTCCTCCAGGGCCTCAGGTGGAAGCAGAAGATCCACAGAGCAAAGGCGTTCCCCACAGCTCCCAAAGTGAACGCCACACCCAGGACTGGAGGGAGGACAGAGCTCAGCACAGTAATGTTATAAGAACAATTCATCTTGAAGTGAGCTCTCTGATATGCTACACGACAAATGAAAAATTATCATTCTAAAGAAATTTTGAAACCACTTCTTCTTTTCTTAACACGCCTACTTTGAAACCACTTCTTCTTTCTTCACATGCCAACTTTGAAACCACTGTTTCCTTTCTCAACCCCTTCTACGTATGAGGCATAAGAAAAGGTCGGGGTGAAAAAGTTGAGAAGGGTGCATGAGGGGCAGTGTGTGTCTTTTCAATTGATTATAATTATATTATATATTGTATTATAATAAATAATTTAATTATTGATTGTAATTCCAATTTTCTTACAGGTTACTTTGACACTGACACGCGCAGTACTTCACTAATGGCACAAGAAGAACATCGGACCACAAAGCTACTACATGATTGGAATGTCGCTCATACAGTTAAAAAAAAACAACTCAAAAAAACCCCCAAAACAACAGAATAAAAGACAAACACAACACAAAGACAACATTCACACAACCACAACACAGAGACAGCATTCACACTATACAATACAGGATCCTTATACATTTTTCTGATTTGATCATCACCACACCTATATTTGTAAATTAATGGAAAAAAGTAAGTAAGTAAGAGCTTGGAAGTTAAATGCTGTGCGTCTGGGTCTGAAAAAAAGAACCTAATAACATAAATGTTCTGCGGCTAAATTATTTTTTTTAATCATAGGAACATAAAAAAATAGTTGTTCAGTGTTGTAGATGATATGCTGATCTAAATGGAATCAGAAACTCTTTTAAGTACGGTGGGAACTCTGAGTAATAACATTTAAACACAAACTAGTACACAAACACAAACTGTAGCTGTCTTCTGGGTAAGAGAGAGCCAGAGTAATGAATACATTTGACAGTGGTGTGTTCTATAAAGACAACTTTATACAAACCTCCATATACTATTATAAATGACATCTAACAGTCGAAGGTTAGACGCTGAGCTGTTCTGATAAATTTTGTCTGCGTAGTCGAGTATTGGTAGAAGTAATTGTGAGGCAATTATTTTTCTGACAGATAAAGTAAAGTAGTTAATGTTTCAGTATAGTGCCCTCAGCTGGTTAGAATCTTTCTTTATAACTAAATCTATATGTTAGTTAAAACTAAGTTGAAAATCTAAAACAAGACCAGGATATTTAAATTGGTCAACTTTTACCATTGGGGTTCCATCAATAAAGTTAAATAACATATGATATGATTTCTTCATATTAAGTAAAAGTTTGTTACTGGTGAACCATTTTTGAATAAGAATAAAATCTGACTGTAGTGTTCTTTGAATCAGAGGGACTTTCAACTCTCACCTCCAGGAGGGCTTCTCACAGATTCCGGGGGAGGCTGGGGACATGGAGTCTGAGTGGGCTTCGCTCTCAGCCTCTATTGTCGATGCGGCCGCTCGGAGCTGTGGGCGTAAGGTGTGTGGTGCCTGTTGCAGCGGCAATCCCCGAACCCAGTGGTGGACACCGGAAGTAAGGGATGCCGTCAAGCTGAAGAAGGAGTCCTATCAGGCCTTGTTGGCTCGTGGGACTCCTGAGGCAGCTGATGGGTACCGGCAGGCCAAGCGTGCTGCAGCCTGTGCAGTTGCGGAGGCAAAAACTCTGGGAGCTGGGAGGAGTTTGGGGAGACCATGCAGGAGGACTATCGGACGGCCTTTTAGAAATTCTGGCAAACCGTCCGACTCCTCAGGTGGGGGGAGAGCTGTTGATCTCGAAATGGGGACGTTGTCCGGCACTGAAGGAATACTTTGAGGATCTCCTTAATCCCACCGTCCTCTTCCGAGGAGGAAGCCGAGACTAGGGACTCGGAGGCGGACTCGTCCAACACCCTGGCAGAAGTCACTGAGGTGTTTGGCAAGCTCTTGAAATCTGTCCTGAGTATCTTTAAGTCTCTGGATGTTCCGGGGCTGTCTTGGCTGACACGCCTCTTCAACATCGCATAGCGGTCAGGGACAGTACCTCTGGACTGGCAGAACGGGGTGGTGGTCCCTCTGTATAAGAAGGGGGCCCAGAGGGTGTGTTCCAATTACAGGGAAATCACACTCCTCAGCCTTCCCGGTAAGGTCTATGCCAGGGTACTGGAGAGGAGAATCCGGCCGATAGTTGAACCTCGGATTCAGGAGGAGCAGTGTGGTTTTGGTCCTGGCCGTGGAACACTGGACCAGCTCTACACTCTCCATCGGGTGCTAGAGGGCTCATGGGAGTTTGCCCAACCATTCCACAAGAGTTTGTGGATCTGGAGAAGGCGTTTGACCGTGTCCCTCGTGGTGTCCTGTGGGGGGTGCTCTGGGAGTATGGGGTCCGGGGCCCTTTGCTAAGGGCTGTCCGGTCCCTGTATGACCGGAGCAGGAGCTGTGTTCGCATTGCCGGCAGTAAGTCAGACCTGTTCCTGGTGCATGTTGGACTCCGCCAGGGCTGCCCTTTGTCACCGGTTCTGTTCATTGTTTTTATGGACAGAATTTCTAGGTGCAGTCAGGGGCCGGAGGGGGTCCGGTTTGGGGACCACAGGATCTCATCTCTGCTGTTTTTTTGCGGATGATGTTGTCCATGTTGGCTTTATACAAACCAGGACCATATATACATACACATGTGCATTGGGCGGTTTGCAGCCAAGTGTGAAGCAGCTGGGATGAGGAATCAGTTAGTCACAATACTTTTCCAAGAATACAAGGCCATGGTTCTCAACCAGAAAAAGGTGGCATTCCAAACCACTCCAGGGCAGCAAACATCTCTTATGAGCAGGTGGTCTGGTGTACATTATACATTGCAAATTCATCAATAATGGATTGAGTTCAAGTAATCTCAGGTGGTACTTGTTCATGAGTGAGGGGAGGACAAATCGAGTGCCAACGTCTGCAGTGAAATGCGGTCTCTGTATCAGACTGTTGTGGTGAAGAGGGAGCTGAGCTGAAAGGCGAAGCTCTTGATTTACCGAGGACGAGATCGCGGATACAAGCGGTTGAAATTTTTTCCTCCGCAAGGTGACTGGGTGCTCCCTTAGAGATAGGGTGAGGAGCTCAGTCACATGGGAGGAGCTCGGAGTAGAGCCGCTGCTCCTCTATGTTGAGAGGAGCCAGTTGAGATGGCTCGGGCATCTGTTCCGGATGCTTCCTGGGCGCCTTCCACTGTGGGTGGCACTTCCTCACCCATTTCCTGCAGAATGGAAGAGAGGAATCAAGGAGAAGGAAGCAAGGAAAGAGAATTGAGAAGGAGAGGAAAGAGAATTCATCCCTACTGACTGCCAGAGGCAGTGCTGCGCATCCGCACATCAACAATTTAATAACAACAAAGTCACCTTTGACCTCCAGTGGCTCGGATGAATCACGTGGCACCAGAAGCTCAGTCCCTTTTCAGCTACTCACACGCAGGTTACATGGTGGATGTGTTTGCAAGAACTTTAACTATTACCACTTTGTTTCGTCGCTGCTTGTTGCCTTTTGCCCCATGACTGGTCCACAGTCGATGATGTGAGTTCCCTCGCCCTCCTGGAGCTGCAACAAGTCATGGATCAGCCTACTGGTTTTCTGTAACTGTTCTTTGCATTAGTTTTGCCATTGCTACATGCTCGATAGAGTTACGTTTGCGGTTTTAACATAGCTGCTTTCAGCTTGTTTTTAGTTTTCCACTGGACTTTAATGAATTGTTTCTTTGGATTTTACTGCATTTGGGTAGTTTCCTTCAGTTTGTTATGTAGCCATATTCAGCTCGTTCACTTCTTTAGTTGGGTTGCTACTGTCGCTGTATAGCCGTGTTCGGTTTATTCTTTGTGATTGTTGTTTAGTGCCATTTGACTGGCGTGAAGTGGGTCACAAGTGGCATTTTTCTACTTAAACTGACACTATTGTGAACTACCCAATTCAGAGCATGGTGTTGTTTGCAGGATACTAGTGGTGTTTCCTGCTTGACCTCACCCTCATCGGTTTTCTGCTCGACACGACTCTAGCGTATAGACTACTGGACTTCTAGTTTATATCGGACTGCTGTACGCCTCCATGATATTCGAGTCCATATGTTGCCAGTCCTGTCTGGCTCTGCTACAGCCTGATGATGGACATGACCTATGTCCCACCTGTCTAGGGGAGGAACATCTGCAGGAGGCCCTCACTGACGATGCATGTTCTAACTGCAGTATTTTGCCTCAGTCTGTGAATGTGACCCCTGGCCTGTTTGGCTGTATATGAGGAGCCCTCTTCCTGGATATCTGCAGGGCCTTCTGGCCTTTTACCAACTGGCCTGCCTGTGGATCGCAAGCACCATTCTACTGGGGAGGAATGTGTTCCACGTAAGAAGCCCAAGAAGGGGGTTCTGGGGAAGTTATCTGCTAAGGGTAATGTTGACATCTGAACTGGCCCAAATGTCGCCCTTAATTCAGGACCTTCAAATGAATGCCAACTATGTGGTGGCTCCCCATCAAGGACATGATGTGGCCTCTTTATGTGATGATGCCATGTCTGTGGCTGCTTCTGACACTTATTTTCAACATGGTTTTGACTTGAGTTCTAAAGGCTCAGAGTATGGGTCCATACTCTGCTCTACCTGTTCTCAGGCTGGGGGCGATGAGTCTGTCACTGCAGTGATATGCAGAACTTTTAAAATTGGATATACCCCAGGCTGAGACGACTCCTTCTAGTGCCTTCTTTCACCGGCAGTGTACTGCTTCCCAATTCACATACTCTGCAGAGGGAGGAACCGCAAAGGAATTTCATGCCTGTTGGACAGATACCACGGCATTTTCAAAGCCTATTTCAGTTGATTGGCTGCAATGCAGGATCAACACAAGCCTGGTCTGGGACACATGCCGGCAGTAGAGCCCGCCATTGCCTCACCACGGACGAATGCCCGGTGTCTTTGGCCGCAATGCAGCGTTACAGACAACCTGCTCTGTAAAGCAAACAACATGGGGCTCACATGGGTTGTATTGGAAACTCTCTGTCCCATCTGCTGTTTGGCCTGTCTACTTCATGGGAGGTTGTTCTTGTGGACCAGCCTACACAAGGACTGCTCGATGCATCCTTGCAAGCTTTCGCCCTTATGTCCCATGAGCTTGGGCATCTGCTGTCAACATTAGTTCAAGCTCGGTGCCAGGTTTGGTTGGCACAGTCCCCACTCTTGGAGGACAGTTGCCGGACATTGAGGCATGTTCAGTTTCCCCCTGAAGAACGGTTGCCCTGGATGCCTTGAAACTGCACGAGACAGCAGTTGGCAGGGCTTCATAATCGAGCCCCTCGCTGGACCATTCCAGTTGCCCCTCCTCCTTCTTTATAGAGGAATCCAATGCCGCCCCACTCCTTTACTGAACCTCACCGCTCTTTTGGAGGGCCTGCTCCAAGGGCCCAGAAATGAGATTACCACCCTCCCCCATCTGTCCAGCCCAGTTGCTGCTCCCTCAAGCCCTCAAAGGTCCACGGGGCAACTAGGTGAAGCTGTGGTTCCACCATGGGATATTTTGCCCCGGAACAACTTGAGCCACTTTGTCCCGAGGATTTCAACTCCAGTTCTGCCGCCTGCGACTCACAGTTATTCAGTAAAAGCATAGACACTGGCTCAGGAAATTTGTACCTTGCTGGACAGAGGCGCGATAGTTCCTGTGGATCCCCTGCTGGATCCTCTGAACATTTATTCTCATTATTTCCTAGTACCAAAGAAGACTGATGACCTGTGCCCAGTCTTGGACCTCAGGGGTTTAAACATGTTTTTTAAAGTCCTCCTGTTCAAGATGTTGGGTGTCAGGCAGGTCCTTCAGGCAATCTCTCCCGGGGATTGGTTTACTTTCATAGATTTGAAGGATGCCTGCCTCTATTGCTTCTCAACACTGGAGGTTTCTTCGCTTTGCTTTTCAAAGGGAGCACTGTCAATTCAGGGTCCTTCCATTCGGCCTCCGTCTATTCCCTCATGTGTTCACGAGATGTATTGCCGCTGCCCTGCCCCCCCAGCAGGTTCAGGGTTTAAGGATTCTACCCTTGTCTGGACGATTGTCTCATCTGTGCTTCCACCAGTGATCAGGTCCTTCAGGATAGATAGATGGTGCTCAGGCACATGAGCCATCTCAGTCTACAGCTGAACATGGCATAGACTTATTTTGTACAATCACAGGTTGCCACCTTTCTCAGAATGGTTCTCGATTCACGGGCGATGTGTGTGCAAGCAGATAGGGGGCATTCTGGACATACCCATTTATGTGAAGTTCCTTAGCAATGTGACAGGGGCAGAGAGCATGTTGTTGTGTTCCCTACGCCAGAGCGGGCTCCATATCAACATGTTGGAATTCATGGCCATTCAGCTTACTCTATGTCATTTTCTCCCATATCTGTGAGGACGACATGTGGTGGTAACGTCTGACAACACCAGAGTGTTTTTTTCTCCTATACCACAAGGGTGGCACTCAATCAGAGAGCTTACTGAGGATGGTGCAACTCATCCTGGCTTGGGGCACACCACAGTTTACCAGTCTGAGGACCGTACACATTCTGGGGGTTCAGAACATGTTGGCAGACTTCCTATCTTGACAAGGGCCGTTGCCGGGAGAATGGAGGCTTCACCCAGAGGTGGTGAGCATTGTTGATCTCTTTGCTTCCCAGCGGAAATGCCCCTTATATATATATATATATATATATATATATATATATATATATATATATATATATATATATATATATATATATCAGTCCCTGACAAAAGTCTTGTCGCTTATCCATTTTGTAGAAACAAAAGCTTATAACCTGACTTTAAATTAATCGATTGGTTTTAGAAATGTCTCATATGAAGCTAAAACCCTCCCAAATTATGCTCAATATACTAAAATAAATTTGCTTCACTGAAGAAAGATTGATCATTTAATGAACACAGAAAGGTCAGATTTTGGCAAGACAAAAGTCTTGTGGCCTTGTCATATGATGCACCCAATCCTAGATTACAGCCTCACCTGTGATCAGTTACTGATCAATCAGTTAGTGTTTGTGTATAAAAAGAACCCCAGCACACCAGACCTTCACATCAACTGCAACTTGACCTCTGACAACATGCCTAAGATCCACCCTGAGACCAAAGCGTTAATTATCAAGAGGCTGAAGACCAGATCCACTGCTGAGGTGGTGACACCTTCAATGTGTCTCAGCGTCAAGTACAAAGAATAAGAAAAAGATCTGAAATGACTGGAGATGTTTTTGACAAGCCCAGGTCTGGCAGACCCCGCAAGACAACTGCTCGGGAGGACCGTTTGTTGATTTGAAAATCCAAGGTCAGTCCCTTTTCCACTGCAGCAGACTCCACCAGGCCTGGTCACCTCAAGTCCCTGTGTCAACCACAACAGTTTGTAGAATTCTGTCTCGAAATGGCCTCCATGGTCGAATCAGTGCACAGAAACCAGCACTAAACAAAAGGCAATTAAAAAAACGTGTGGCATCTGTTTTAATCAGCAGTTATGTGAACAGTGAATAGTCTACTCTTAAAGTTAATCTAACAAAAGGAACAAATGAATTATGGCAATAATAAATTACTTCATGTTTTGTAAGTCACTTGTCTCTCTGTCAATTAATGAACCTGTGAGCCTTTTAGTTTAGTAAATTTTGTTTTTAGTTTCTGGCGTTGTTGGTTTTATGTTAATTATATTACTTTGGGGTTCTCTTACATACTCCTCCCATATTCCCCGAGCGCCATATATATATATATATATATATATATATATATATATATATATATATATATATATATATATATATATATATATATATATATATATATGACCACTGAAGATTACATACACAAAGACACATGGGAATAGAAAAGTACTATGATTTAATGCTGAAAATCTCTATTGTCTGTTTTTTATTATCCTTGTGGTATCAGACGCAATACTGAGCAGTTGAGACCCACACTTGCAGCTGCTTTTCCTCCTGTTTGCTCTGTTCTTCTCTTTCTCTTTAATCTGTGGCGTCTCTGGGACGTCAAGTTTCAGAACAGGACGAGGACGAGGAGGGCATCTGGACACCTGCAGGAGACAAAGGGGAAAGGGTCTTCAGAATGGTCATTTAGATTTTTTTCAGGTGCGAAAGTGGAGCAGCAGTGGCAAAAACCGTCAGTGCATCTTCAGGCAAGACACTTCACCCTCACTGCATAGTATGAATGTGGTATGTGTGAGTGTTGTGGTGGTGGAAGGGGTCACTAGTGCAGATTGGCAACCTCACCTCCATCAGTCTGCCCCAGGACAGCTATGGCTACAACAGTATTTTACCACCAGAGAGTGGAGTAAATGAATAATGCACCAGAGTTACTTTAATGCTTTGTTGTTGTGTAGTTGTATTTGAATTCATATTCACTGCTTTTTTCTGACTGTTCCAGTGTAGTTTCCTCATCACACACAGACCTGGAGTTGTGTTTGTTTCATTCACACATGTTTAACACACAAACTCTGCAGATTTAGAGTTAGAGTTTAAAGTTCTTCTCTCAAACAGAAAACACTCTGTTCCATCTTGTGATGTCATGTAGTAATACAGGGAGTGCTCCACTGTGTTTTTAAACTTCATACACCTTCACTAGAATCAGCTGAACAATTTCAGTGCTGGACTTGTTAATCTCAACTGAACTAAAGGTAAAAGGAACTTAAAAACTACAAATTCATGACATCACAATGTGGAACAGAGCATTTTGAGGTTTGGAGATGCGGACAGACTAATTGTACAAATTCCCCTCATCTTCTTCTCCCTCTTTGGCTCCTCCCATTGTTTAGTGAATTAGAGGCTTTAAGGGGCCAGCTCACCTGCTGGCCACAGACTGTAGAAAGACTAAAGTCCAATCAATCAATGAACCTGCCCAGGGACGACAGAAGCAAAGTAGCACTGGTGCTACAACCTGGTACAATACATCTCTCCTGTTGAGGTTCAGGTATATTGTGCACTGTCCCTGTCTCATTAAATAAATACTCAACTAAACTAAAAAAAGGCCATCACCTTGAGTGTTAAGCTCCAGTCAAATGAAGCTCATGAGGGTAGCAGTTACACAAGGGAATAGGAACTTATGGACAAAATAGGGACAGGTTAGCTATGTCCATAGAGTCTATGGTTGGCTCTTTGTCTGGAGCTGGCGTGGTGGAGCTCTCCCTTCCTTGTATGAAGCAGTGCAATAATGACAAAGAGTTTGTTCTTTTCATTTATTTCTCCATGTTTGTCTTTACCCCCCAAGTTGTGACTTTAATTCATATTTGTTTGACACAGTTCACTGTCATTTACTGATTTACTTTCTCCTTTAGACCAAACCACTGTCCCACTCCTCTCCTCCCAGCTCCCACTAAAGCCCAGATAATCCACTCACCAAATGTTTCAACTGGACTTTGGTTGCTGCAGTTTCATTTGTTCATTTGGTTGAAGTCACTGCCTGGAATCGTTAAGGATAATTTAACTGTCTCATAATTTGTTTCACTACGAATAAAGGATTAGTCAAAAATGTAAAAGAAGCAAAACAACTCCAAAGTGTAGTAGTTTTCACTTTAATCGCCTTATAAATACGTACATTTATGATCTTTTTAGACATTCTTGATTTTGCACAAAGCTGGTGGAGGTACAGATGAAGACAACAGAACAGGGAGTTGGAGTCATACGAGCTGAATGGAGTCTCTATACATGCAAAAATCTGATGACATTTTTACTTTAAAAGAATTTAAAAGTGCACTGGTTAAGTTTTCTGCTGGAAGCACCCCCGATTGTCACTATAGACATATTTCATTAATTGGAATGTTCCACAGTATGGCATTAAAGAGAGATCACACTTAAAAAGGTTTTAGAGGTTATCCCTGCATGTTTCAATAATCCTGCGATCTCTCTTGGGCCGTACTTGAACCTTCCATACAGTGAGCAGTAGGATTCTGTCCAATGCTCCGCCCACAAGCCAACGTCATCGGGGCATTTCAGCAGCATTTGCAAAACTATAGAAGGTAACAAACATGTTCTGTATCTGAGGAGAAGACCTGTTCACTAGAAGACATATGTTCAGTGTAGTTTTGAGCAATAATAATAAACAAAGATGGACAACTTAAAAACAGTTGAAAATTCCAGGCAAAGCAATCACATCCCCAGGGAGACGAGCAGGCAGCAAACCCCCACCAGAAAAGCTACACAGTGCTCCTTGAAGCTGGATTTGAGGCATGTTTCAGGCTGCCGTACTTGCATACAGTATCTTAAGGCATTCAACATTCAATACTTTCCCCACAGACAAATGAGCAGTACAGCAAGCAGACATGCTCCACTGCTTTACACTCAAGAACCGTAATTGATACTTTGCAGTTATTGTCATCAAAATTCCCTGCAGGGATGACGCTAACTAGAGGTACTGCTCTGTCTGAATCTCTTTTTCTTTAATCGGAGTTTTGTTTTAACACAATCTGACCATAAATAGGTCACTGAAACTAACAGGTGAGCTTACTTATACTCTTTAAGTCAACAGTTTGAGTCACTCTCACCTAAACAGGACCATGAACACTCGGACTGATCCCAGGCTCCTGAAAAGGGGCTGTTTAAAGGTACGCTGTGGAACTTTTCATGTGGAGGATTCATCACCTGCAACTGATGAAAACATTATTGCTTTGCCAAAAATGCCACAGTGTTTGTTGCGGCTCTCGCTGAAAGATCAGGAAAACATGGAGTGTCATGGTGACCACTTGAATCTGATTGGTCAAAGCACTTGTGAACTCACAAATATTGCAAGAATCGATCTCGCTGTGCAAGGTTAATACTGTGAAGCATTTCAGGCAAAGCAATAACATCTCCATGGAGATCAAAAAAGTTACACAGTGAACCTAAAAACAGTGCATGGTGACTGTTGAACATTCCACCACAGACATACATGTAGTCCCCCACAGCATGATGTCACTGCAAAGTATCAACATGTTCTTGTGATTTTTGAAGCAATTTTATCACATAACATTGAACACCCAAAGGTATAGAAAAGTTCTGCTGGATTGACTCAGGGCTTGAAGCTACAGTTTAAGGCACCACAGCACCATCACAGTGAGTCCGAGGGGAGCGGGAGAGGGCACGGGTTCCAGTGAGTGTTCAGGGGGGAGAGGGAGGGGTCACTTGTCCTGCATCTTCTCCAGGATGGGCACGATCATGTCAAACTTGGGCCGCTTGGCTGGGTCCTCATTCATGCAGATCTTCATGAGCTTGCAGATGTGTGGGGAGATGCCAGGCGGAATGGTGGGCCTCAAGCCCTCCAGGGCAACCTGAGAGAGCAAACACAAATAGAACTGTTAAAGCAACTGTAGGTGAGAGTTTGATTCCATAAACACGACACAAGTGTGTCCACAGATACGATGTAAACACGTGCAAATCAAATATTTTGATATTATAGTTTAGTTCTACAGTTTTTTATTAATTAATTACAATTTACAAAAACATTGAACATGATGGACATGTTTTGTATGCTATACTTTGGTGCTTTGGCTCTCAAGAATGTATCTAATCAAAGCAGAATGAACCTCACATCAGTCTCTTGTTTGAGTTGCCACTTTCAATACTCAAATCCAGTGTGTGATCTGATGGTTTCTCCCTAAACACAAGCACCTGCACCAGTCATGAGTCAGTGCTAGTGCAGCCTCTGCAGCTCAGGGAGGGAATTCGGGAGCTTCACATGAGTCCTGTCCATACACTGAGAATGACACAAGTCTGGCAACCCAGGATCAGCTGTGATTGTAACATTTTTAAATTGTAAAGATCACTGTGATTGAGTTTGTATATAGTTCAAATGTACAACACCAGTGGATCATTATGTTATTATTTACACATTTGAAATATCAATAGTCATCTAAAATCACTTCCTTAAAGAAACAGTCCGCAGACTGCCACCTTAGACAGAGTCAGTGTTATGGATTTATTTGGGCCAGTGTGTACATGGCTCATATCTCGCCCTCTGCGGACAGACGCCCTCTGCAGACAGACGCCCAGGCATCTGCACAGACACCTGTCTCTGGACTTCTGGGGCGCTGTCTATATAAAATGTAATGTTTGTTGTGTGGCTGCCTTTCTGGACTGTCTGAAGTGGAGAGGTGGATTTACTTAATTGTCCAGACTAAAGGAAAGCAGTGAGAGGAAGGTTTGTCTATCTGTGACACACACGGACAATTTCTCGTGTCTCCGTTGGAGTGTAACCGCCCGTGTGAGTCTGGGGCCACACATACTTATCTCTACATTCACACATACGAGCTGACACACCCAATTTGCCTCAGAGATACAACTGGAATGATTTAATAAAATGATACACACTCAAAGGAAACATGGATACTACCTTTAAAACGAATTATTACGTTAATTAAAGCTGGCTCCTTGGAAGGCCATGCTCACATTTCCACATGTTATGTGTGTGGAGTTATGGATCATTTCCAACACATCCATAACTCCAGCAACTCAGTGCACATCAGCACAGCTAATGAGCAGCTCATGTTTTTTCATTCATACCAACATGACTAAACTACACTACTGAATGCTACGCATATCAGTGACTGAGAAAATAAAATTGTAGAAGGAAGTGAGTACACCACAACTTGAATTTTGTCAATTTTGCATAATAATAATAGGTCTCCTTTAAAAACTGTGAGAGCACAGGCAACACACAGTTCCTTTACGCATAGCATACTGCAGGCAGAATTATAAAACCACAAGTGAACATGAACTTCTAAGATGAGCCCTACGTAGAGTCGAGAGGCTCAAAAATATAACCACAGCCAATATATGTAGACTAGAGGAGAAACGGAGGGCTGTCTAATCATGGCTAAAATAGTCCTTGTGGAGCTGTTGCTGAAACAACTAAACTAAACTACTAAATATTGTGCAGGGAAGTGCATACAGTCTGTATGTAGTCTAGTGGCTGTGCGCTCTGTGTGGTCCAGACCTTCATGCCTATCTCCATGTTGGACAGATCAGCGAAGGGCACCTCTCGGGTCACCAGCTCCCACAGCAGGATGGCAAAACTCCACATGTCTGCGGAGCGCCGGTTTATCTCCTCTGGTTTCTTCTGGAGGGCTAAAAACAACAGGATTATTTTAATACGCAAACAATAAATCATATATATTGTGTTAGTGTAACTGTTGAACGGCAGCCACACTGTAATGAATATAAACAGAGAGAGAGAGGGAGAAAGAAAGAGAGATACTTTATTAATCCCAAGATAAATTTAAGTTTTGCTGCAATAAACTGTTGCAACATTTCCACTGCGCGTCTCAGTGGCCTTTCATAAACAATACAATACCTACAATAACTATTTTTATAATGAAAGGACCTGTACCCGATTTTAATTTATACTTGTCAAGATAATTGCTCGTTAGGTCATGCATGATATAGTAAGAAACTGCAAAATATAATATTAATTTTACAGCATTTTCTCAGGTAATAACCAGCACAGAAGCTACAGACAGGGTCACCTTTCTTTGTCCAATCTGGCAAACTGTTACTGAGAATCATGGGAAACCAACTACCTGACACTGACACCTGAGCAAATAGTAGCAGAGGCAAGAAAACTATAAGAAACAACTACAAAGACCATCCCAGACAGCTGTTTCTTTGTCATGGTGTAATATCACAGCGGCAGAAAGGACTATGTGGGTGTGGCTAAAATTAATCACGCCTTTAAAAATAGTATGTTGAGGGTATTAGAGTATATTTTTGTGCACTGAATTTGATTTGGCTACAAGTAATCAGGATTAATATGTTTTCAAACTTGTTTATATTTGCTCAACCAACATCTCACCTTATGATGGATATTTTATACAGGTTTTATTTTTAACTATGATATATATCATTTTAAGGTAAAATGACATCATCTTCCAAAAATCGGTCAGAACACTAATTTGAAGTCAGAGGTTTCAGAAAATATATAACACTGAGATATTGCATGATTTACACTTTGTACAATGGCTGGTTGAAAAATAGTGATTATAATGGAAGTCAATAGGACATTTTTGTGCTTAAGGGCCCACAAAGACATTATCTTTCCTAGAACAAATTAGAATAGTCTAATATTGAAAACAATGGGGAAATGTTAAAAAAACAAACAAACAAAAACAAAGATGCATCACTAGAAGAAGTTATGCAAGAAACAAAAGTCAAAAAGCACAAAAATGTGTGTGTGATTGGGGTTAAAATATGTTTCTGACTCATGGTTTACAATCAGGTACAGGCCCTTTAAGTTGCATTGTTTTGAAGTTTCCTTTCTTTTAGTGTGAATGATCAGAACAGATGCAGTATGGTGAAATGGTGAGTGTATCATGGAGTGTTAGGAGTCGTCTTTATGTTACGGCTCACCCTCAGGGGCCACCCAGGCGGGGGAGTACATGCGGCCGGGGCACTGGAAGGAGAACTTGACGTCTGCCATGCTGATCCTAGCGGTCATGTCCTCATCGAATCTACGAGGAACACCACAGAAGCATATGATCAGAAGCAGAAGAGCCCAGGTTAAAGAGTGTGAAGGAAACCAGGCCACTATCCACCACATTACACATCTAAGCCAGTGCCATACAAAAAGTACTTTAACATTGTCAAGTCATATTTCACAACTTTAAATGTACTGTATGTGCATTAGTGCTGTCATAATACTACAGTTTCAAACTTGCTTTTAATAGGAAGGAATAGACTCAATACCGATGATGATAATAAAAGACACTCTTTCTTTAGACAGTAAAATGGAATTTTCAACATTAAATAATAGTACTTTTAAGGTAAAGTATTTTCTTTACCATGTGGTCTTATATGTGTGTAGTCCCTCAGTGGTCCTGGTGGGTTTCATAGTGTGTCATGGGCATATACTAGTCTATGTGCTCTTCTACTTTTCAGGACAGCTTCATTTCTGTCCTGTGAATGGGACTTTAGTATTGATACCTGCTCCTGTGAGTATCTAGTATCGATACTAGTTTTAATCAAATTCGATACTAGTTTTTATCAAATTATGGTCAGAGTTTCAATACTTTTGACAACTCTAATGCACATGGGTCCGGTCAAGTGGTAACGGAGGGAAACAGGGGCAGATTTTTGACATTCAAATAGCTCTTATTCAGAAACTAGAGGGACTATTGAAATAAGTAAAGTATCAGAATGTAGGAAAGAGTTAACACTCCAACAGGGTCAAGTTAAACCTGTGATATTCTTTCAAGTTGTTGACAAAAAATAAAAAAAAATCTCATGTCGGTAACGGAGGGAATGAAATATGCAGCACTTTTTGGGCAATAAATCCAAACAGTGATAACTCTTGGTTCTCACTTACATATCCTTAACAAACTGGTTTGAATATTTGCTTCATATAGTTTTCTACCATATTGTACAAGATTAGGTTGAAAAACCTCTTTTTGAGTCACGAGATTTTTTTTTATTAAGAAAGGTCATGGTAACGGAGGGAAAAGTAACGGAGGGAAAATTGTGCAAACAAGTAGAAGGTGCAGGATTTTACATCATTTGTCGCTTTTTTCTTCCGAATACTTTAATATTACTTCAAAATGAAAGGAAACTATTTCTATAAAATATGTCAGTCCTTCCAAGCTAAATTTTTATCATTTTAAATACTTGTTTTTTTAATCATGTCCCTTCATCAACAGTTCAAAGATGGAATAACACAAGATATGATGAAATACATCCATTTATTTACATGATTTGCAGGTCTTTGAAATTTGGGAAATAATTTTTGTTCCATGTTTCTTACATGGTCTGTTTAAAACGTATGGAACTTTAGAACCAAAAATGGTACAGAAAAAAGGTCAACAGTTTCATAAACTAGAGTACATATGTATCTGTTCAATACATTTTTATATCAGATGCATTAACTTGAATTTTTGGCCTTGCTGTTTACTTCTGCTTAACCGGGCCCATATGAAAAAGAGCATTTTTCAGCTATTTTAGAGACTAAATGTTTTGAGACTGCACAGCATTTTTAAGTGTAATGCTGCGTCACGTAGACTGGGACTGTCCCACATTTCCTCAGCAGAAGTACAGTGCACTCTGCAGGGGCATATGCTCACCACGTCTGCCATACTGGTAAAGAAAAAGATTCTCACCATAACGCTTTTGCTGTTGAGATAGTGCCGTGGGATCATGGGTTCAAGTGTGTGTAAGAAGGCCATTCCACAGGCGATGTCCAGAGCAAACTTAACGGCTTGTGTCTGGTCCACCACAAAGTCTGAAAGAGGAGCAGAGGTGTGAGGAGCAGTTAATAGCAGGGGGCACTACCACAGTCCTGTGCGCAGACTTGTGTGTGGAGATACTCACTGGTGCCCTCGTGCAGCACGTTGTACAGGGAGCCGTAGGGCATCCAGTGGGTGATGATGATGGGGTGAGGGGCAGGGGGAGACTGGCATGCTCCCAGCATGGGCAGCACATTTGGGTGGGAGAATATCCTGGAGACGGAGCGAAGGGGGCAGACAGAGGGCATACACACAGAGGGCACACACACCGAGGGCATACACACAGAGGGTATACACACACAGAGGGCACACACACACAGAGGGCGCGCACACACAGAGGGCGCGCGCACACACACACACACAGAGGGCAGACAGAGGTAGTGAAGGACAAAATCAAGGCTTGGGAAAGACTAGTAATAGTAAATCAGCAGCCGTAGTAGGGCTGTAGAGCTTAACTTGCTTAGTACATTTATCGATAGATTTAAAAAAAAATTTTTTTTTACTGGCATTATAACGATTTGGGGGTGAATCGTAGGTTTATTCTTCCTGTACTCCTGGTAAATACCTAGTTCACAACACTTTTCTGTAAATAGATTTATTTTTATGTTTGCAGTGCAGCTGTACTGACCGTAGAATACAAATATAATGGGTTTGGTTTAACGAAGTAATGCCAACAGGAAAACAACAAACAGTGTGAGAGTCAGAGTACAGACTAAAGAAATACCTGAGTTTGGGATACTCCTCATTAAAGTCTCGGCTTTTCCGCGTTGTCCAGTCTCGAACTTTAAAAACTTTGACTACGATCTCATTGCCCTGCCAGCGGCCCTGCCACAGCTGCATAGAAGACAGTACGAGGCATTAGGAGTCCAAACTTAGGAGGTGCCATTTCTATTTAAATGTATTTGAACATGAGGTGTAAAATGGAAAATATAACAGTGCTGAATTGTTTGTCAAATTTCTCTGACAATACTTTGCCAGAAAAATTAACACTTTTAAATAATTAGCATCATGTGTATTGTTGGAAGAACAAAATATTGTCACACATTTTTCAGTTTGATAACACTGTTATTAAAACACTAAATATATGCATACACACAAATGAAAAGCAAAAAACTTTTTTTTTCTACAATTTCAATATTGTTTTGAAGTTTCAATTCTTGTCCTCTGTATTATGTAGTGTGGCATTTGTAAGCAGGTTATGCCAGTGAATGAATGAATGGATTCTTATGGGTCCATAAAGCCTGAGTCCACTGCATGATTTAGTTTGTTCTTATAAGACTGTGGGATGTCCCTAAACCACATGGGGAAATCGTATGACACCACACAGACTCACTGTGCCATGATGCACATCATCAGTCGTGCCTACAACCACAGTTTTGTCAGAGCGAGTATCAGGATCAGACAGCTAAAATCATGCAGTGGATGTACAGCTTCTGGTATCAGAAAATGTCAGATGTGATGTACCTCTCCAGACTGGTTTTCATTGATTTTGGCCAAAAGTGAGAGCTGTTTGTAGTCCACACCGGCATGTTTGTTTAGCGTGCCATTACCTGAAAAAGGACAGGAGCAGAATAGAAATTAGATCCATTTAACTTGTGACAGTGAGACTAATGCAGCTATGGAGACTCACGTGGCCGGGTCCTGGTCGTGCCCTTCCAGAATGTGTCTTTAAAGGGGATCTTTGCCATGCTCTGGCCCAGCTTCTCTGCCTTATCTGAGGAAGAGGAGGAAAAAGTTATGAAGAAAATCCAGCATGATGAGACAGGACAAAGTAAATGGTTGGAGTTGAGTACCTGTGAGGAGCTGGCGTAGGTGGGGCTTGGCCTTGTCCAGTGGAGTTTCCCCATATTTGTTACAGATGCTCACCTGGGCTCCATTTGTCACAAGGTCCTGGAGGACCAAAGGGAGTCAACAAATGACACTTATGTATCATAAAGGAACATAACACCTTCAGAAACCTGTATTATGAAGTTTGATTTAATCGGCTTTATCTAGAATATATTAGGCTGAGTGTAATCTGATAGTGATACCAATATATGTTTATCATGAATTGAAGTTATTTATTTCATTTATTTCACTAGCTAGGACCACGCCAACAACAACATAGTGTGAAGAAGTTTATTGATAATGTACGAAGCAAGGCAGAGATGGCCGGGTTGAGACTATGGGTGGGGGCTCCGTCTCAATCTGCAATTGGTCCAGCCGGAACGGGACCCCCCTTGTAGGGGTCTTATGACTGAAAGACAAAATAGGGGATGGGAGGGTGGAGTCGAGTTAGCTGAGACAAGCTGGGATGATGGGAAAGGCTGCTACATATAGACTTCTGGGAAATTCGAGGCGTGGTCGAGGTGAGTTGCGGTTCGCTGGTGAGAGGAGAGGGCGGCTGAGGCGTGGTCCTGCTCCTGAATCTCACATAATCAGATTAACTACATTTATTTTATCCTTTCTTTTTTCCATAAACAACTGATTTTTCATTGACAGAGTAGATATTATAAATAAAAAAAGTCAATTTTTAACCAGATAGATCCTTTTTAGCCACAATGTCATTCACCCTCCAAAACTCCATTCTCATCCTTCACCACAAGAAAAGGTCTGATGTGGAATTCATATTTCAAGATAATGAGAAAACATCATTCATCTTAATTATAACATTATTAGTAATTGTATAATCATTAATATTGAAGGTGTAGGTATGTTTAATGTTTCTGAAATGTTGGTGTTTATAAAAATACAACATGAAATAATATCCTTAGTAGTCCACAAATGCCCATCTTAACACTGGACATAAGTTACTAACTATATGGATATACAGTGGAATTCTATATCTATAATTCTTTTGCTATATCAAGTTGATATTGATATTGTTGATTGATGATTGCACTTTCTTTGAGCCTTCTGCTTTAAAGCTCTAGCATAGACTGATTTCCTTCCAAGTGATTATGTTTAAGACGAGTCATGAGACAGTACTTTTACTCTATATGAAGCCTTAATACTGCTTTAGCGTCAGTCCACTAGGGGTACTACATAAAATGTTGTACACAGTTCTACCTAACCAGTATGTCATGCTGTTTCTTAACACACATTTCAAATAAAGACATGTGTACTGACTAAAATATCAACAGAGCTTATGCACCAATGGCAACTCACGACTGACTGAAAACAATTACTTAAGTACACAGATTCAGTGATTGTTGCAGCCTATTAGGTTGATAAGAAACTACAGATTGGTCAATCTCAATCTCATCAGCAAATTATAGGCCAGTGTGGTGATCTTTCCACTGTCAATATACTTTGTATGATTCTGAATGTTAATGTGGCTGCAGTCATGCAGGTATATTTAGATCAATTCAATACAAGTACATATGATGACCACATTTTAAATGCATCTGAAGAAACTTTATGAGGGAGGCCATCTCATTTTGAAAATCAATTATGATTCATTGAAGTATAAAATATTTAAGGTCATAGATTTTGAAAATCTACAACCTTAAATATTTGATCATTTGAAAATTGTAAAATATATATTTAAAAAAAACTAAAAAAAAATATATATATATATATATTTTTTTTTTTTAACTGTAATTATTAACTGTGAGGAAACAAGTATAATAAATTTTGAAAGTTGTTTAAAAAAAATATGTCTAAATGTTAAAAACTAAATAAAATGTATATTGCTATACACAGCAGACCTACAGTTGATCTACCAAAAGAAAGTGTAGGCACTTGAATTATTCTGAATCAAGTTTTCGTGAGAACGAATCAGCTTTACTGGGTAAACCACACAGAACTGATTCTCACAATGATGACCTGGGATATTGCAATAAGGGTTTTTTTTTTTTTTTACATTTCTCTACATATGCCTTTTACCAGTACTGCAGGACAATGCATCAGCAGTGTTGTCCAGCAGAGGGAGCCCTCACCTCGGCCACCTGGTCCTGTCCCCAGAAGCAGGCATAGTGCAGGGCTGTGTTGCCGTGCTCGTTGGCTGCGTTGGTGTCTGCTTTGCACTGGATCAGCTGAGCAGAGGAGAGACAACAGTCAACAGTCAGTTACAATATGCACACAGTGAATAACAGAGGAGGCACACGAATCTGTTATTCCCCCAGAGTCTAAAACAAGTTGAGCAATAAATGTATATAAAAATATACTTTTTGTTTGTTTGTATTTTGTATACTGTTTGTTTTGTTTGTATTATGATATAGCTATAACTTTTTAGAGCTTTATTTATTTATTTATTTTTTTTTAGCATTTCTGGATAAGTAGATGCAACATATTTATACCAAAAAGTGTTCAATAAAGTTATTCAAGTAAGGCTTGCCTGTGTCACCATAGTCTAAGTACATATAAACAATACTGTTACTATGAAATTTGTTCAAAATTCTCTAGTAACTAATAATGTACAATTAAAGTGGGATTAACCACCTAAACTCCTCCTACAACCACATTTCAAATACAGCTACTAAACTGGGCAGTACCTGGAGGACTAAGAGTGAGGGGGTCTGGAGGATTAAAGAGGCAAGTGAGGGGGAAGAGGAATGGGGTCTTAGGGTGTAAGGAACATTGTGATTGGTCCTACAGGTATCCATACTTCAAACTTGGCCTCTACAGCTAGCCCGGTGTATGTACAAACATCTCGCTATCATCAGGGCAGTCCTGTGTGATGTCACCATCTGCTGTAAATTGCAGAGGCCACTGAAGCCAGCACACACTTAGCTAAGGAAGTCTTTTGACCAGAAAGCTGCAAATGTACCTAGTTTGCACTAGAATTGGCAAAAAATGAGTAGGAACAGCAGATAGTGCTATTAAAACACCAGTTAAGTAGCAGATAAAAGTGGATTTAGTGTTTAGATCCACTTTAAGCAATAATTTCACAGCCCTAACAAGTGCCAAGTGTTTTCTGTGGGCACATACCAAAGGCATTCAGACATGTCTAATATTAAAGAGCAGCTGAGCAGGCACCAGCAGCTCCACAGCCCAGGGATATACACAATACACAAGCAGGTCCAACTCAGATCAAATCAAATCAAAATCACTATTTGAATCTAGGGTTGTCAAAAGTATCAAAAATCAGATACTAATAATACTAAAACTAGATACTTATTTGAGCAGGTATTAATACTTTAAAAAAAGTCCCATTGATAGGACAGAAATGAACCTTTCCTGTAGAGCTTTAGAATGTTGATCTGTATCAGAACAAGTAGAAGAGCACATAGACTAGTATACACACATGGACACTATGAACCTACAGCACCACTGAGGATTACACACAGATAAAACCACATGGGAATGGAAAAGAAAGTTCTGCCATTTAATGTTGAAACTCACATTCTATTGTCAAAAGAAGAGTGTTTTTTTTTAAATTATTATTATTATCGTGGTACTGAGTATTGAGTCTATTCATTGGTGCCAGATCAAGTTTGGAATTTTAGTATGGTGGCCACTCTAACTAAATCGTCTCAATTTAAAGTTGAGGTTGAAATGACTTGGGTGATACAGTACCGGTAGTGTCCACTGCAGGAAACTAAATGTCATGTTCTGAAACGCCCTCCCGGTGTCTCCATAGAAGCTGCTTGAGCTTAATTTTACTTTACTCCTACTTGAGTCCATTTTTTTGGCTACTCCACCCACCTCCAGACTCTGATATTAAAACACGGAAATGCTGCTTTTCTGTTGTTTCATATTAGCAGCTGTGGATTTAACAATGCCCTCTGCCCATCAGTGAGCCGAGCCCTGCGGAGTCTATCCCTTTAGCAATGATTAGACATTACAAAGACACTTGTGGTTCAGTTTTGACAAATTGACTGTGCTATGTACACTTACAAAACAGTTGAAAAAATAGCCTTCCTCTGTCCCCAGTATTTTTAGCAGCACTACCTGGAGCTGTTATCACTGAATCGATCGCAGACACAGGACCACTTTGTCATGATGGAGAGAGGGCTGTTCGTGTGCACAGTGAATCCTGCTGCTCTGCTCAAACTTATCAGATCAACAAGAACAGGCAGGACTCCTGATCTGAAGGCGGACCATATCAGTTCTTTGAAAAGGCTCAGCTTGGAAAGTAGACTCTTATGGATAGTTTAATCTAGGGCTGCAATACTGAATTGAAATTGCAGTTTGAATTGGCAAATCTCAAAGGCTGCGATTTTAGAAGTACTAAAGCTTCCTCCACAAACATCTCCTGTCATATTCTGCATAAAAATGGATAACCCTGCAATTTTATCTGTAAAAAACATGTTCTGAAATGTGATTCTTATATGAGTTTGCCAGTTCAGATTTCAGTCTTTTTGTCAGTTCTTCTGGGCATATTTAAATGTGAACTTTGAACAGAACCCTGTTAATAAACATAAATTACAAATTAAATCAAAATTGCTATTTGAAAATTGATATTTTTCCCCTAACTAACTGGAGGATTTTCTAAGAGCTATACACTGGCTCTTCACTAGTCTCCATCTCAACCCAAAAGTATCTGGTTTAAGGATAAGCCTACTGCTTCTTTGAAGGTAAAAAGAAAAAAAGAGTCTTGTTCCACATTGTGTTCCAAGTTGCTTTTTGATTGATTCATGCATGTTTGAGTTAAGGGTGTGCAAAAACACTGAGATATCGATATATCTTATGAGTCACTGCATCGAATCATGAGAGCCCTGTGATTAACAGCCCTATTTATAGTGATCCTGTAGTGTCCTGCATTTAAGGTTTGAAGGCTCAGAAAATGTTGGTATTCTCAAACACTGCTCTGTTCTTGTTTGCAATATATATGTGTAGGTCAAAAATGTCATGTAGCAAATGTTCACCTTTTAAAACATGGCAAAGAACATTTGCCGTGGTGAAATGCCACTATGAAGCCTCGCAGTTCTGCACTTTTGAATAGGAACTAAACATGGATCTCTATTATTTACATAACAAAATGTAAAATAATGATGTACGTATTGTAGTTTAAAGGAGACATTTTGTGTAAAATGGATTTTTCAGAGCTTTTAATCATATTATAGTAGTTTCTTGTCTCACTGGCCATCTGAACTTGTAGTTACACTGATTCCTGCATGAGTCATCTTTATGCTCCTGTATTCATTGCTCCAATCTACAACATTCACAATCTAAACTTTCACTTCTTAGTGCTTTTTTCCTAATCTATAATACGTGTAGGATTCAATTTGCCCAATCACATGATGTGCAGCTATCAAGCAGAAGGGATTACTTATTTCGTAAGTGATTTCACTTCAGTCATAGTTTTATGTGAAATGTTTGTAACAGTCTATTAAGTACATGTTACTTAAGTTGTTATGGGAATCTTTACACAAGTTATTAAAAATGATTATGTAAAGTACAGTACAAGACTGAAGAAAATAAATTACTAATGGAACAGGCAGATGTCAGCTCCCACTGAGCTCCACAACGCAGAAATCAGTGAATTTATTTCTTTTATTAAGTTGTTTAAGATAAATATTGTGATATAAAATGTGCAAAATACAACATAATGATCCTCTTGTGGCATAGATTATAACTATACAGTCCCTGACAAAAGTCTTGTCGCTTATCCATTTTGTAGAAACAAAAGCTTATAACCTGACTTTAAATTAATCAACTGGTTTTAGAAATGTCTCATATGAAAGCTAAAACCCTCCCAAATTATGCTCAATATACTAAAATAAATTTGCTTCACTGAAGAAAGATTGATAATTTAATGAACACAGAAAGGTCAGATTTTGGCAAGACAAAAGTTTTGTCACCTACAGAAAATTGAACAAATAATTTACTTCAAATACAAAAATATGTTGCATAACGTCAGTGAATGAAGTAGTGGTGCTGTGAGATCCATATTTAATATCTTGTATGACTCCATGAGCTTGAAGGACGCATCCATGCGGTTCAACAATGATTCATACAATTTGTTGATGAAGTCATCAGGAATAGCAAAGAAAGCGTCTTACATGCCTCCCAGAGTTCATCAAGATTCTTTGGTTTTGCCTTCCATGCTTCCTCTTTCATTCTACCCCAGACATGCTCAATGATGTTCATGTCTGGTGACTGGGCTGGCCAGTCCTGGAGCACCTTCATCTTCTTCGCCTTGAGAAACTTTGATGTAGAGATAGAAGTATGTGATGGAGCACCATCCTGCTGCAAAATTTGACCCCTTTTATAGTTGGGAATGTAAGAGGAGCTAATACTTCTTGATATTTTAGGCTATTGATATTGCCTTCCACCCTGCAAATGTCTCGCACACTCCCATACTGGATGGAACCCCAGACCAGGATTTTTCCGCCACCAAACTTAACTGTTTTCTGGGTGAATATTGGATCCATGCGGGCTCCAGTAGGTCTCCTGCAATATTTGCGGCGGCTGTGATGTAATTCAACTGAAGATTAATCTGAGAAATCCACCTTCTGCCACTTTTCCAGTGTCCATCCTTTTAGCAGGCTGTGGGCCTTGGCAAATGCCACACAGTTTTTTAATTGCCTTTTGTTTAGTGCTGGTTTCTGTGCACTGATTCGACCATGGAGGCCATTTCGAGACAGAATTCTACAAACTGTTGTGGTTGACACAGGGACTTGAGGTGACCAGGTCTGGTGGAGTCTGCTGCAGTGGAAAAGGGACTGACCTTGGATTTTCGAATCAACAAACGGTCCTCCCGAGCAGTTGTCTTGCGGGGTCTGCCGGACCTGGGCTTGTCAAAAACATCTCCAGTCATTTCAGATCTTTTTCTTATTCTTTGTACTGGACATCTCAGCAGTGGATCTGGTCTTCAGCCTCTTGATAATTAACGCTTTGGTCTCAGGGTGGATCTTAGGCATGTTGTCAGAGGTCAAGTTGCAGTTGATGTGAAGGTCTGGTGTGCTGGGGTTCTTTTTATACACAAACACTAACTGATTGATCAGTAACTGATCACAGGTGAGGCTGTAATCTAGGATTGGGTGCATCATATGACAAGGCCACAAGACTTTTGTCTTGCCAAAATCTGACCTTTCTGTGTTCATTATTTTAGTATATTGAGCATAATCTGGGAGGGTTTTAGCTTTCATATGAGACATTTCTAAAACCAATCAATTAATTTAAAGTCAGGTTATAAGCGACAAGACTTATCAGGGACTGTAGAGCAGACACAAGTTGCTTGTTGTGTGTGGTACACAGAGCAGTACCTTGCCCACGATGTCGCGATGCCCGTGGCTGGCTGCCAGGTGCAGGGGTGTATCATCTCCTCTGTTCATGACATTGATGCGTGCTCCTCTCATGATGAGCATGTCCACCACACTGGAGCGGCCCTCCCTGCACGCCCAGTGTAAGGGGCTGAAGCCGTGGTCATCTCTGAGGACACAACCACAAAACACTACAGTCACTACAAGCTGGACAACCTAAACACAAACACCCCATATAGCTGAAATTGTCACTATTGTGGTTCTGCTATCTGGATTAATTATGTGGAGAAGAGAGAACCGTCTTTGTTGTTTGAAAATTCCTACCTACAGTGGTAGACCTACAGTCAATTTTCCATGACTTTACGGCACCCTACATGTGTAGAATTTAGCATACTTTTAAATATGAAATGTTAACCCTTTCCACTCACCTTACAGTTTGGTATTACAGTTATTTTATTTATTTTTTAAATTTTTTATTCAAAATACTATCAGTTACTGTTGTGTCTTTTAAACAAAAGGTGCATACGTTTGGACATAATTATAATGATAACTTAACAAAACACTGTGGCGCTGTAATGCATGACTTTTCAAAACTTTTATTGAATTTGCAGAATTCCATAACTTTTTCAGGGCCTATACTGTGCTGTGACCAAAGGCCTACAGCACGAGACTGAGCGGCGATCAAAGCCAGTTACACAGAGCTCTGCTGCAGTGGTGCATACAGTCATGTCTCTGGCCACGATTCTCCACACTGAACCAACTCATGAATGTGCTGCTGTGACTGCACACACTAAATGAGTCTGCCCCAGGGCAGCTATGGCTACAGCTGTGGTTTATTGTCAGTAGGCTTGGATTAAAGAACTATTATTTTTCTGTGTTAAAGGACATTGATTAAAAGTTTGCATTGCTTGTGATTTCCCCCTTTTTGCAACAGCAAATATCCCAACAGAGAACTAAATACAGCATTTCATGACTGAATCCACAGTGAGAAGAGCCAAGGCCAGTGGGACTTCCTGTAGAGCAGCTGCAGTCTGACACAGTCTGCTCTGTGTGAACAAAGGCCACAGACACCAGTGTCTGCACAGTGTCAGCCTTACTGCTCACCAGATGAAGCTTGGCACTAAAATGAGCCGTTTCCTGGACCACTGGCATTTCTTGAACCTGAGAGCAAATGTTTTTTTTTTTTGCATCATTAAATACTGACAAAGGTTAAGTAGTAATAAATGTTCTATCAGAGTCCACAAACAAGCAAATGTGAAGAGAGAGAGTAAAAATGAACCAAAAATAAAAAGATGATTTCCTCTTCCTGTCGCCACTCTGTCACTGTCAGCTAATCGCAACCTTCTCAAAGATATTACTTTCATTTCCAGCAACTTAGTTAGTGGTAACTGACTTATTAATAGAGTAGTACATACATACATCAACTTACTGTGAATGTTTTGGGTTGATTTCTGGAAAAAAAAAAAAATCACTTTTTTAAAGAATGACTTTTTTCATTGTATTTTTCATACTCTGAATTGTAACTGCAATTCTCAATTCAGTTTTATTTTGTGTTATTAAAAAGAAATAAAAATGTAAAATTCTGTATTAAATTTCCTTTTTGTGAAGTCTGAACTCTGCCTGGGATCCAGGACACACATCTCTCCAATTCTTTAAGATGCAAGTCATTTTTTTTCAAGATGTGAAAAAATAAAGGGAAAAAAAAATCTGAAGAATCAATGAGCAAAGCATTAAACTCTTCATTTGAGGTGAGAGAAATTTAAATTTGTTCAAAAAGGTTTTCACATGCTTCACTGATTTTTGTTTTTGTTTAGTTTTTTCTGGATTTGTTCTAAACCTGGATACTCTTACTTACAGAGGATTGGCTGTGTGGACCTCTCCACTACAAATACCAAAACACATCTTTCATATTATCAAAATGTGATTCATTGCACAGTCCTAAACTGGAGTACCTACAGGAAACCCACAGGAGGAACATGCAAACTCTACAGAAAGCTGCTCCCACCCAAAGACGTGACCAGTGACTATTCAGATATTGTAATAGAGTTGTTTTGGTCTTTTAGATGTCCCGTAGAAAGCACATGTTATCATCATTACTGCTTCCACTCCTCTTTTTGTAATGTCTCCCACTCCCTCATGCCCCTCTATATATTTGCTGATTATTCATCTCATCTCTCATACATTTTTCATACAGCCTTTCCACAGATTTTTGCACAGTCCTCCGGCTCAAAAGAGACATTATGTAAATGGACAGGGCACTGGTGCGATGGGAGAACTGAGGCCGTATTATGAATGGTGTGGAATCTGACCTTGGCACCCCCCACCATCAATTGGCCGGTCTGTAACCACACATCCTGCCCTTCAAACCCCCTCTGGGTCCCCCCAAAGGAGGCAGAAGTCCCTTGGCACACCACAGTCACTTAAGTGTAATTTCCTCTGGCTTCAAAAGTTTCTTCATGGTTTGGTCCAAGTTTATGAGACCAGAACTCCCAGCAGACTCACTTAGAACTAATGTGCTTAGTCTTGCACCATTTAGATTTAAGGACTGAACATTTATATTAGATTTTTGGATAACAGGATCAGTCATTACATGTGTTTTTTTCCCAGATTGTTGAAATTCTTTTCTTCTGATAGAGATGGACAGATTCAGCTTTTTCTGTTCTGATACTTTGCCCATCCCCAATATGAACTGATCCCAGGGCAGAAACTGAAAACAGCATATACTGTATTTCCATTGAACACAAAGAGCATGAGATAAAAAATGGTCCAAATGTGTTTTGTAACTACAGGACAGTTTTGTGAAAATACAAGTTCAATATTATGAGATGTTTTAGGTCCACACTGGCCAGTAAATCGAGTTAGGGAAGCTGATATCCATCCATCAAAATGTTCAATATTGTTGCCCATATAACACTGTATTGCATTTGCAGTTGAGAAAACGGTGCAATATGCTATCATGACACTGTACACACCTTTTTGTCAATTAACCATTACCGTATTTTCCGCACCATAAGGCGCACTGTCATAGAATGGTCTATTTTCAAACTTTTTTCATGAATAAACCGCACCGGACTTTAAAGGAAACAACAGTGTGATGGGTGAGTGGTTTTGTTGGTTTGTGGCGTTCACGGTGACTCTGGGCTTTGTTCAGTTGTGGCGTGTAGGGAGGCTGCTGTCTGGGACCGCTGGATTGTCGGCGTGTTCGCAGTGACTCAGTTGTTCAGTTGTGTCTAGAAGTGGCACATTGCACTCGCTTTTTCGGTTCGTTCCTCCATTCCGTTCCTCGTCGGCGTGGAGTGATGAGTGTGTCGCTGTCTGCTCCGTGTGTGTTTGTGTTGTATGGGTGGTGTGGCTTTGTAGTTTACTGAAGTCGTGCTGGGACACCTGAGTGGATTCGTGTATAGGACACTCTGGATTGTTGGGCGCGCATTTGTTTTTTGATGGGGTCGGAGGCTTAAGAGCGCAACCTATGGTGCCGAAAATACGGTAATTGCAGATTAATGCAGATCATCTCTCTCAAGACAAAATCCCAGCTTTAAGTGTGCCCCAGAAATGCCCCAATGGCACATCAAGTTTAACAACAAGGGTCTGTATTGTCATGTACCTCACGATACAATACATACAGGGTCTAAGATATGTATTAGGGGTTAAATGTTTACAAAATGTATATTTTGATTATGTTATTAATTATTAATTATTATGTTATTGATTATGCAACAAATATGCATTGGAATTTCATGTTCGCAATGCCCTTAATATCAGAATACATGAAGATGTCACATGTTCAGACCAGAAGATTCAACCTTAAAGGTCCTACATTGTGCAAAATTGGTTCTTGTGAGCTTTAATCCATGTTTTAGTTAATCAAAAACAGACCTGGAGCTGAGTTTTGTTTCATTCACACGTTTCAGTAACCCTTTATTATTAGTCTGTTTACATCTCCAAAGCTCAAAATGCTATGCCCCACCTTGTGATGTCATGAAGTGGTAATATTCAAGTTAACAGGTACCTTTTACCTTCAGTTCAGTAGAGTTTGGCAATTTCAGGGCTGAAATTACTGTATCCAAATGATTCTAGTGAAGGTGTATAAAGTTGAAAACACAATGGAGCACTTCCCGTAATACCACATGCCATCACAAGTGTTTTCTGTTTAAGAGAAGAACTTAAACAGAACTTAAATACCAACCAAAACACAACTTCAAGTTTGTTTGTGATGAGGCAACAACAAACATCAGAGAAAATAAGATCAGAAAATAGTGTAACATGGCCCTTTAATGCAGTAGTAGGTTAATAAGTGCAAATCTCGGCAGTCTATTGTGAATGTATGTTGTTTAAATGTATTACAACACACATCTCTATATCGATACATGTACTGTCAAGAGTTCCATCATGATATATTGCCTTATGGATATTCAGGTTACAGTCCTGGTTAATAAAGACACTAACCCCATGGAGTGTAGTTAAAGCACATTGTCATGCCCCCAGCTATGCCCAGCACGCAGACACTTCAGACAGCCTGACTGAGCCTGTCTCTGGGAGTATTCTGAGCAGAGAGCAGAACCCTCCAGCCCACTCCACTGCAACCTCCACACAGGCTCATTTATTTCAGGCTGAATCCCATGTCCCACCTGCCCACAGCACTCAGGGAAAGCCCCTCTGAAGCCCTGCCCACAGCACTCAGAGAGAGCCCCTCTGGAGCCCTGTCCACACCCTCTACGTCTCTGCACTCAGCACTGCATGGGGCCCCACACACCACAAAGCACTAATTAAGGAAGGTGGACCTGATTTTTAAAAAGGTCTTAAAAAAGTGAAAACTAGTTCATTTTAAACAGTGGCCCATAGTTATTCCTCACTTGACCCATGTGTTCCGAGCATCTTCGTTATTCACCACTATAGAGTTCTTAAGGCCTTATAACTTTCAGAGATGTAACAGTAAAGCAAATAACAATGCTAATCATGCACTTACTGATTTTTTGACACCAAAACGCTTGGTAATTAGAAGCAGACAGTACACCGCTGACCTCAAGAACTGCTTATACAGTATTTCTAATGGGCCAAAACATATTTGCTCAGATGTACTGAAAAACCTGGACAGCATACTTGATTATGTTAATATCTAAACTGTGTCTATTTAACTTGAGCTAGTTTTGTAGGGCTGCTTGCTGATAA